TATGATTTTGTCTATGTAAAACCTAAGTACTCTGCCTATTGTAAAAATAGATGACATCTATTTAGCATCCTACAAATGGTAGCTGAGCAAACTGACTTAATATGTCTTGAACTGCAGATTATGGCTGGACAGGAAACATTAAAAGCAGCAAGGCACTCATGATGGATTTGTATCTTGAAATTATTATACTAGTGTTGTTTCAGTCAGTGACTGCTGATATTTCCACTACAAAAGCTGTTCTTGAACAGGTCGTAACTTGGACAGATTGGCAGGGGTTTTTATTAGTCTCTGCCCCAGTGCAGATTGGGCAAAGGAATGTTGCCTTTCATTTTCTAAGTTAAACCTTTCAGAGTCAGTGCCTGACCCATGATTACGCTTTGACGTAGACATACAGATTTTGTAAATGAAAACATCACAACATGCATTTTGCAAAAATACCTGACTGAAGTTCTCCTTTACCATTAACTTGTTCTGAAGCTTGGGGCCATGATATTTAAGTGTTTGAGTTTTCTGTCCTCTGTAGAAAGTTGAGTAAAATAGTAATGGCACTTACCCAGAATTTAAACTTACATAATTCTCCTTCATGGTTAGACCAGGCAGCAGATACAAGATGCGAAGTAGCTGCTGCCATGGTCTAATCTTTAAGAAGGTATGATGCTGTACTGAGCAGTTTTGTACACTGACATATAATTGTTAGACTTACTCATTTAGCCACTATCCTTGGTTCTGATTGAACAATTGTATGTTATTAGAATTCCAGGAAAGCATTCACACAACTTCATTTTTTTTCTTTGCTGTAAAGAGAATCCAGATGACTCGAAGACAGTCAGTGGGGCGTGGACTTCAGCTAACTCCTGGTATAGGTGGGATGGTAAGTGTATATGAAAGTCTACTACTAAAAACCTGCATTGAGGGAACATTCATACCTCTTGGGTTTTATTTTGTTTTTTAAAGAAGCCTAGCTACTGACTTCTGTAGTCTTGCAGAGAATATCTTAGTCCTGTTAATTTCAGTATTAATGGAAGGCAAATACTAGAAAACTCCTGGGAAGCTAAAGGTCTTCAGAAGTGGTTGAATTGGTTTTGTCTAAGGCAGTTTTAATTACTTGTTTTTAGAATCAGTCTTTTAAAGTGGATGTGTTACTGGAAAGAATAATAAAATGTTTTCAGCCTCATCCTAAAGGAACAAGGCTAACTTATTATTTCTGTCTATCTCCCTCAGCTAATCTTGAACCCTTTATTCAACTTGAACTGTATTTGACAGAACAAATGCAAGTTCAGTGAGGGAGGGGAGAGAGACTGACTGTCTAAATAAGTATCTTTTCTGAGACTAAAGGCATCAGCTCAGATTTTTTTTATTCTACTTGGCTTGCATGTACCTGTTACTCAATTTCTGCTTGGAACTGGCCTCAGTACCTACTGATTTTTGCCTAGACAGTAACTGAGCACATGGGAGGGAGCTTAGGAGTTTCAGAGAGTAAGGTTTGGAAGATGTGGAAGGAAGACAGGGAGATGAAGAGAATGCCTTGTGAAGGATGAGGGAAGAGGGAGCTGAGGTTTCTGGCTTTGTAGGCAATGCAGGAACAAAGGATACAAGTCAATAGAGGAACAGATGATTTGATATCCCCATATGGTAGGTACATTACAGCAATCCAGGTTAGAGAAAGATGGGTGCCCTGCAAGTGTATAGTTTTTATTTTGGTTTGGGTTGGGTTTTTTTTATCGCCTGTAAGGGTGATCTATATAACTAGCTCAGATTTAGATGTCTGAAATCAGACAAGAATTTTTTTAGAGCTAAATCTGTCTTTGTTTTGCTGGACAATGTGGAAAAGGCAAACCAACTTTTAACTTGGCTTGGTAGAAACTGGAAATACATTGTAGGCTCTCATATCAGTCTCTTCTTTTCCAGCAGCAACACTTCTTTGATGATGAGGACAGAACAGTTCCAAGCACACCAACTCTTGTAGTTCCACATCGTACAGATGGGTTTGCAGAAGCCATTCAGTAAGTAGATGTAAAGGAAAAAAAAGAGGCATCTATTTCTTTCTATTTTCAGTGGAATGAAAATAAATTCAAATGAAATGAACTTGTGATTGGAGTAACATGCTAAAACATGCTAAGTAATATGATCGATGGCTGCATCTACAAATAAGTCATCATTATTTAAACTGTATCGTGGAACTTATCAGCAAATTAGGAGGCAGATCATCTCCAACATATTGTAACTTTAGTGTCTTAAGAAGAGATTAAGCAAAAAAAAAATAGGTTCTTCTATTTCCTTTCCCGCTCTCCCCC